TTAATATTAATATTAATTTATACAATGATGTGATATGATACGAGTAATAAGTCTGTATCCATCTTAATGTGAGAGAAGATTTGTTGAACCAACAAAATCATCTGCCATCGCGATTAAATTTGTTGTGAGAAACGAAACGAGAGAAAGCAATACAATTTTCCCCCATAAAATTTTTATCGTTTAGATGAATAATTTGATTGAAAGAGAGAGAGAGAAGGAAAAGGAAAAACGGGTACACGGCCGGCAAAGTGATTTTGTTATGTCGACAAACGATTTTACTCATCGGCATTGTAGCGAGGCGCGCGATTGTGAGAATCGTTGCGAGACCGACGGATGCTTATAATTTAGCTCTCGCGCAAAAAGAATGGGCGTCCCCGGGATCGAAATTAACGGTGATCGATCGCACTGGGTGATTTTATTGGCTGAACAATCGGACCGTTCGTTTTTTAGGGCGCCGAAACACGAGCAAGAGAGAAAAAGAGAGAAAGAGCGAGTGAGAGAGAGAGAGCAGGAGAGTGAGAGAGGAGGGGGGAGGAAGGGAGGGAGAGAGAGAGAGAAAGAGAAAAATCGATGCAAAATTGAGAAACGATGAATGAGTTGTTCGCGCAAAATTCGGCGTTTTTTTTTTTGAATATGTAACAAAAGAGGGCAAAAAGAAGTGTGAAAAGCTAGTGACAAAAAAGTGTGCGATTGGCGAGAAATCAATGTCGATTATTGCGATTGTGGCGAACAACGTGTTCGGATGCATGAAGGTCGAGGAGCGCAGTTGTTTATTAAGAAATTCTTTTCTGGGCGTATCGGCATGCGCGGCGAACGTGAAATTCGACAATTTATAATTGGATCGTTTTGCGAGACAACTAATTTTCTTCTTCTTTCTTTTCTTACAGAATCAATGATAATGATTTTGCGAAACAACCGCGCTCTTCGATTCGATCCCGTGCAGAGAATGAAATCGGTATAATTTCGATAAGTTCAATTTTTTTGTTATATATGTTTGTTAAAATGTGTATGTATATATATATATACATATTGAATGGTATTTCAAATAAAATTGACGGAAATATTTAAATATAAAATACTATCTTTAATATCTTATACATGTTTTGTATTAAACTTTTATTTTAGTTTTGAAACGTATTTCTCTGAGAATATTTTGCAATTTATATTTTGTATTTTATATTTAAATTACTCTTTTTTATTTATAAATCACACAATTCTTATATGCGTCTGTAAAAACGTCGAAATGTAAACTCATATAAATTACACCGATTTCGATGGATTTTAATTTCCGATCGTTTTCTTGAAATATTGACGCATGCGGCTGCTGCAAATTGCGAGCGATGTGCACATAAGAGAGAGGCGACAAAGAGACATGTAAAGATACGTAACTTACAATTAGAGATACACGTATACACGAAATCGTTAAACAATACGCATTTGTAAACAATTCTTTTCCCCCGCCCCTCTTATCTCTATGCTGTATATTATTAATATAATTAAATCTTAATTATTATTAACGTAAAAATAAAAATCTGGCGAATGATGGTGAGCACACGTTTTGTTAGTATGGCGGAAGCTAAATTACTACTGAATTTCGATTAATAAATGACATGAAAGTAATACAACATACACCTGACGTTTTGCTTTATTTGCCGGATCATCATCATCATCTGTGGTCGGAAAATTCTCATCTCTCTCTATCCTTTCGATATTCTATATCAGTATCATGAGAATAATTTTGTCCTACGGATCCTCCATATAAATGATTAGCTGTATCATAATGCATGTTTGTATGTATGCGAGTGTATGTGTTGATCCAATAAATGCAAAAATTTTTATCTGATTTTGATCATTGCCGATAATTTACATTTCTCGTTAATGATTGATAAGCGTTTTCTGCACGAGATAAGATCATATATTCAATAGACATTCAAGATTAAAGGGCTCTATGAATCTTCATCCGAATTTTACGGAAATGAATATTGACGCGTCATTAATCAATCAGTCGTTCATTATTTCGTAGAGGCTACGATTTTTATGCGAATTTTTTTCTTTTTTCGTTGAATCATTGTGGGCGAACATTTTTACTCTCGCGTCTCATTTCCATCTATGATGTATCCATGAATAATTACAGTAAAAGTTCATTCGCGCGACTTAACCGTGGCGTGATATTGAAGTCTTTCATTGTATTAATTAAGAGCTTAATAAGCAGCGTGAGCGACGTGAGAAAACGGCAAAAAGTGTGTATTCGCGCGTATATAATCGATCGAACCTGAATAACTCTTCATCTCTTCAAGACCTTTTCCTCGCGATTGTCTTTCGCATTTCCACGAACAAAGTACAGCTCTGCTTATCGATCGATGGCGAGAGAGGTACCTCGCCTGATCTCTCGATTATTCCATCTCGTACATCGCATCGTGTGTAATTATCACACGATATGATGAAATTGCCATGACGGCCAAGTGACAAGCGGAATAATCGCGTGTCGCAGAAAGAAACATGCTTGAGATAGCGAAATTGATTAAGCGTCGTTTATAATATTGCGGGGAACGAGTATGTCTCAATATATATTATATATTCCTATATATCATCATAGGCTCGATATATATTATATGTTCCTATATATAACCATGGTTGAATAAAAGTATTGTTCAGAATTATCATTTGCTTTAAAACAATCGATAAAAACTCGAGAACGCACGCTGGAAAATCGGAATTATTGATTATATTACGTATCGAGTTCTAAAATTAGTTAATAGTCAATTAGAGTCACATATGTGATTCGACATATGCACATATTTAGAAGATTGACCTAGTAATTATTTCGAATAATTAATAGAATTATTTTTAAGATTTTTTATTATGATATTAATGTTTTAATATATTTTTTAAATGCATTATTTATGTTTCATAATTTGTTTTATCATTTAGTAGTCTATTACGCAAAGAAGGTTGGAAAATATCGTTCTAACGTTCGTGAGTTCCTAGAGATAGCCTGCTGTTTGCTCATCATCGAACGCATCATACTGATTCCGAAGGTGTTTCTCGCTACGCCTACGGTTACGCATCGAAGGCTCGTATCGTTATTGCTTATCGCAAAATCGAATATCTTGGCACGTTTTACCTTGAAGAAGCAAGTCGCCTCCTTCCATCAAGATTTTATTACCCGCGTCAAGTGACGTAATCCGAAACAAAAGGCTTTAACATCGACTTTATCCGGTAACAATTAACGCATATCTTCTTTTTTAAAAAAATTATAGTTTGATTTAGATTTGCGCTTAATTATTGTTTACCGTTTAGAATTTGGTCTCTGCCGTTGCTCAACCATTTAAAAGCAATAATAAAACAATTTCTGATTGGATAATCCCGATCGATATATTTATTATGTCGCTTATTTTCTGGGCCTTCTTTTTTTATCTATCTCGTAAACATTACGTAAATAGCTGGATTGCTTGATAAACCAGAATCGCGATGTAAATCACATGAAAAAACTGGATTGCAAAAAATGGTAACATTAGACGGAATGATAAAACAAACTGTGTCTAGAAGAATCTATAATATAATTCAGAATTAAAAATAGAGGAAAAAGATTGTGGAAAATATTGATTTCTATTATTTTTGTTTGCGTGTGTGAGTGTGAGAGAGAGGCTACTTCAAAATATTTTTCACACATTCACGCTGCAGTTTTTTCGATCGACATTTTATCCCGATTTGTTCATTGCACTTCATTGGATTTCGCTCGATATTGCAGGACAATTTCGAAAACTTGATGAAACTAATCGAAGGGCACGTAGTAAATTATTATCGTAGCCGAAATCATTCTCGATTTGACGTAACAAGATTTCTGCTATCGCAACCAGTATGTCGATGTTCATTATATCACGCATGATTTGACGCTTTTCGCTGAAATTATTGATTGTCGCGTCACGCTAAATTTGAGCCATGAAATATTTAGATTGTTGCTCGATTTCGATGGTTTGTTCACGTTATATCTACATAACTATTCTACACGTCCGTGAATTAATTGGAAGCATGTCACGTTTGGTCCAATTTTTCCACGTGGGATTGGAGGAGAAGTCTTTTTTATGCGATAAAAATATCACAGTGTTACATAAAAATATTTTTATGCGATAAAAAAGTCATAACCTATGACCATACGCAAATATATTACGTGAAGAAACTTTACATATACTTTATATTAATACATCGATTTACTAATAATTAAACGCTATATATAGTTGATTTGATCGTACGAAAGTATACTAAATTACGGAATGTTTTCTCTTTCGTTATTCTCTTTCTTAAATAAGTTATCTCGCTTATGCAAATCCAAGTTGATTTTGTAATAATTGAAGTCTGAATTTGAGAAGTAATATACAGAGTATTGAAAGCGAGATTCTTAAGATCTTTGGATTAAAATTTGGAGTACATTGCTTTCCAACAAGCAATCGATATAAATTTTTTGATTTTATTAGATTTGTAATACAATTTTTAACATTCTGTTTTGCTCCAATCCCTTGGATCGTCGGTCTGTCATGCGGCGATTTCACCGCCGTAAAATTAGCAGGTGCAAAAGGTGCTCGATAAAGGCGTCGTTTTTATTGTATCGGTAGGATAACCACGTAACAGCTCGTTTCTTCCAACCGAACTCGATGTCCCAATTGTGTAACGGGCTTAAAGCACTTTAAACCACTTCTCGTGCCACGCCAAACGACGCGCAGGATACGACTGACCGTTATATTCCGAACGCGTTCGTTTGTCTCGTAAATCTCGACCGGGTAAAGCCGTGGCGTCTCGCCTCTTTTACAACCCGCCGAATCTATTCGAGAGAATAATACTCCTCTGCCGGCGTTTTTCGCGGCGATGAAAAAGGGGCGCTGCTTCTCCCGCGTCTTCTCGCGCGTGTACGCTCGCGCGAGAGTATTTTTACAGTCGGTTTTTACATGCATTGTGTTCGCGGTTTATGTCGCGCTTATTTTTACGGCCGTTAAAGGCGAAAGGATATGATCGCGCGGCCGGAAAACAGCCCGTTGATTTCATTGCCTGCGTTCGTTTCCTGCTGCGGCTTCCCCGTGCGCAAATTAACCTTCTGATGCATTATTCAGCCGCTTCATCTCTTGGTCTGAGAATCACAAGCAATTTCGTTCAAAATAATGAATAAATTAAGAATCGAAATTTACTTTTTCATAATACAGTGTAATAGAGGAATTAAAATCCCGTGTTCAATTTTAACAGCTGGTTCTTCGGTTTTTTAGTTTCACAGGAGTTATAGAGTATCCATAAAATTCTTGCCGTAAATTTTCATAGACCCGTCGCTAAACGCACTTATAATTTTCGAATTAATTTCGTATAACGTTGCGGGAAGCCCGCGACAATAATACACGCGGGAAGACGACGTAAAAATCGCCGAGACATTAATATGCAAATTCCGGCACGCCAGTGGCGAAGATCACGGCTTCCTGACGGTGCGGCGATCTTCGCCAATCGAGGCGAATGGGCGTCACGACGAAGGTATCGCGTTACGATCTACTCACTTCGGAAGCGCGCAAAACGTGCTCCAGGTAATCTCTGTCGAGAAAGTAAAAGACGGGAATGTTATGCCGATGATCATAATCGTGGTCATCGATAGCCGCAGTAGACCACGCGACCCGTAGCTCGTTTCGGTGCTTGTAAAACTTCGTTGGACGTGCCGTCGATCATCATCGCATCCATCTCGACGAATTTTCTTTTCGATGAATTTGCAGTCGATTTTTTCGCAGCGAAAATATCAAAGTATCAATGTTTTTTAAGTTATAATTATTCCACTAAAAATATATATAAAGAAAGTAAAAGACGGGAATGTTATGCCGATGATCATAATCGTGGTCATCGATAGCCGCAGCAGACCACGCGACCCGTAGCTCGTTTCGGTGCTTGTAAAACTCCGTTGGACGTGCCGATCATCATCGCATCCATCTCGACGAATTTTCTTTTCGATGAATTTGCAGTCGATTTTTTCGCAGCGAAAATATCAAAGTATCAATGTTTTTTAAGTTATAATTATTCCACTAAAAATATATATAATTGGATTTTGTTGAACTAAGCTTTATAGGGGGTTAAAAATACATACTAAAATATTTTTCTTCCATAAAAAAAAATATCTAATAAATCCGATTTAACAGAATTACAATGAGCAGTAGATAAAATATTTATTGATATAAATAAGAGATCAATATCACAGATATCCAAGAAGAAATCTGTTCTAAATTAAATAGCGTGTTATATTAAAGATCGATGCGGTGATATGAACGACCCTGTTTTTGTATGCCGACGCACGACGATCGCGCGGTGCGCAACGGAGGTGACGATCAGGTGGCTGACACGTGCTTCCGGTTCCTCGTGCCGACGAAAGAACGGTTCCCCGGTGCGCAACGTTTAAGTGCCCGACGCGCCATCCGGGCGTATCCACGCGAGGCAGATTATTATGTTAATGTGCGAATCGGCTTTAATTATGTGTGGAAATGTGCATCCGATTAAGATTCATCGCACGCGAAGGATCGAGAAAGCAAGATAGGCCGGAACGTAAGCACTTTTCTCACTGCATCATTGCGTTTCGACGAAGAGCGCGCAGCGAAGCGCGGCGCATTCCGTGATTAAGCTGTTAACACGCGCGGACTTTAGATGTTTCTCCGAGCAGGGGTTCGGGGGAATTATTCTTGAAGATATATTAAAGTCATCATTGACATATCGGTATTAGTATTAGTATTAGCACATTGGTATTAATCGATCGCTACAAACTTATGCATTTTTTACGTATTTATAAGATCGTTAAATATATTTATCTATCATGGAATAATGAAACCTGTTAATTATCTTGCAAGATATTATGATATCGTCATTCATTTTCATGTCGCATTTATTCAATACGACTTTGAAACACACATTGCAATTTTGATAAATTAACATTGTTAAATAATTATATAATGTACGTTTCATAAGATTATAAATAGAAGTTCTATTATTTATTATTCTGTTATCAGTGTTAATAGTGTAATTATATCAAGCGTTAGAATGTGACGATTGATTGATACTACATAATGCATAATTAGATTGACGATGACATATCTTTGCGTGAAACCGTTAAATCCTGTGAAACTCCGTTTAAACTCTATCTTACAACGCAACAGCCTTTAAACATCGTTATTATATTCTTTCTCCTGTTCTATCGATTTCATCCCCAGCGGCGCTATTCGCCCCCGGTTTGGAATCACAAATGTACTAATTTGACGCTACACCTGTCACACCCTCGTTAGCCCCGCTC